ATATATATATATATATATCACGATTACGATGAAATACTAATCAAAGTGATGAAGCATTTAAGGTTAAATCATGAAAGGCAAAAATGATAATCTTCAATAATGATATAAACACGATAATTATCCTCAGAACCACAGTCTTAAATGGTCAGTGAGTTTCTGAGGCCTAGAATTGCATGAATTTCCTTCCTGTTCACACTCGTTCTTTCGATGTCAGGAGACATTTTCTTTATTAAGGGACTACCTTCGTTTTCATTTCTGATTATGAATTGTTAATTTCCAAGGTTTAGCTCTAAATTCATTCATTTATTCTTCCATTACCCATAAAACATAGGAAAATGAGACGCATATAGCCCTTGTGGTAAATGACACACTACTTCTTATATTGTTTTGGATGGAAAACCCACAACGTAAATCATTTATTGAAATAAATGGGGTAACCTATTTCTTATAAAAGAAGAAAAAAAACATTTTCTTAGTATTCATACTATTTTCAGAAGTGGGGCTAAGGTAATGTGTTGTGTTATTGTTGGCAAGTTGGTATATGATGAAATCTTTCACTATTTTAGTACTGTCTTGCCGTCGTTAAATAAACGTGAGGAAATTAATTTAGCAATATGCATATTCCTAAACCAGGGCCTTACGCAGCGTTCCATTCAAGATACGGATGATATGTAGGTCAAGCTATATAGGGAACCGCGAAGGAAGGGGCGGGGTAGTGTCGAGAGGTCTAAGGTCGTAAGGTATGCGTGCGTGTCTGTAATTACAATTTCAGGATTCTCTCTTCACTGAAACAGTATACATCTCTCCTGTCTAAATAAGGTCCTCCCATTCTTTAATGATATTATATAAACTAAGAGGTTATTGACCGGAGTTCAGAGCTTCATGAGGAGCAATGCCCCTTTCTTACATAGTTCAAATTTCTATTTGTGTAGCGTTAAAACGACTTCGGTGGTGGCCATAACCTACGTTATACCATATCCAGTGGAAACCAAATTTTCCTTTAGTTTCAGTCTTATAGTATGAGATCCAAGTATAGCAATTAAAGATTTTTAGAATAATCATATAGCAACATTCACTAGTCCAGAAAATATACTTTATCAGGTAATCCATGCATCATATTACACATTGGATTTTGTTATCTTACCAGTACACATTACACCATATTTACAGCCCTGTATTCACCCCCTCTGCTCCTCAGATATCTGGTGCTCTGCTTCCATTTTTACATTCACTCATCATTATTTTCTTATTTCGCTAATCTTTCTCTCTTCCATCCACTTCCCGTCAATTATATTCTATAGACTATATTTCAATTCCAGTATAATTCTTAACCATTATCGTTTTTCAGGATACCCTTACCATACTTTACCAAATCAGAATTTTTCTATATTATTTGTAATTTCCCTCTATAAGTATTTTGGTTACTCGAGATTGCATATCCTCACTTTAACGTGCTTTGATTATTTACAACCGTTCCTCGCTTTACAATTTCATTATTTCTCCGCCTTCTTCATTGCATTATTCCTCTGCATGACATGTTA